AGCTTGTAGTATGATTAACTGATTAATACACATAGCATTTCTCTACCCTCTATTTTTCCTGAAGACATCCTATTCTTTTGCACTTTCTCCTTTATTTCCCTCTATTTGCCCCTCTTTTCCTCCAAAGAAGCTTACTTTGGCAATATTGAAATGACTGAGAAAAAGATTCTAGCCTTATAAGTACCCTAAATTTGATCTTTCTATACTTGAGAGGAATTTTTCATAAGAAGTTAAAATTAATTTAAAAACCCATTGAAACTATTCATTAATATGATGTTATAGATTCTAAGCAACTGTCTCTTTTATAGGCAACATAATTACCAGTGAATTACAAATATAGACTTTATGACTCCAATTAAACTCTAGGCCACAATCCATTAAAAACATATTATACACATTACATGTAAGGAAATATATGCAAAATGATTCCAGCTATCAAAATAACTGAGCAGTAATTTCAAATAATTTATGTTTATCTAAAATTTCATCAGCATAGCCTCAAAAATCATCAGAGAAAAAAACTCATGCTTAATTTTCAGATATATCTACATCATACTTTTTCTTACTTATTTCATTATTTCACTCTACCCCAGGAATATATTTGAAGTATTTCCCAAGAATGAGAGATTGGAAGAGATTCTAGTTTTTAGTTGTAAGAACACTAGTTTTTCCAGCTTTAAGAGCATTAGAATTAAACTAAGAATATTTAATTTTAGGGATTTTATTTAGAAAAGGCAGAAGAACCAGAGATAAAATTGCCAATAACCGTTGGGTCATAGAAAAAGCAAGAGAATTCCATAAAAACATCTATTTCTGTTTTATTGACTATGCTAAAGCCTTTGACTGTGTGGGTTACAACAAACTGTGGAAAATTCTTAAAGAGATGGGAATACCAGACCCCATACCTGCCTACTGCAAAACCTGTATGCAGGTCAAGAAGCAACAGTTAGAACTAGGCATGGAAATGTGGACTGGTTCAAAACTGGGAAAGGACTGTCAAGGCTGTATATTAACCCTCTGCTTATTTAACTTATATGTGGAGTACATCATGAGAAATGCCAGGCTGGATGAAGCATAAGTTGAAATCAAGATTGCCGGGAGGAATATCAATAACCTCAGCTATGCAGATGATACCACCTTAATGGCAGAAAGCAAACAAGAACTGAAGAGCCTCTTAATGAAGGTGAGAGAGGAGAGTGAAAAAGTTGGCTTAAAACTCAACAATCAAAAAATGATGATCATGGCATCTGGTCCCATCATTTCATGGCAAATAGATGGGGAAACAATGGAAACAGTGAGAGACTTTATTTTCTTGGGTTCCACAATCACTGCAGATGGTGACTGCAACCATGAAATTAAAAGATGCTTGCTCCTTGGAAGAAAAGCTATGACCAACCTAGACAGCATATTAAAAAGCATAGACATTACTTTGCCAACAAAGGTCTGTCTAGTCAAAGCTATGGTTTCTCCAGTAGTCATGTATGGATGTGAGAGTTGGACCATAAAGAAAGCTGAACACTGAAGAATTGATGCTTCTGAACTGTGGTGTTGGAAAAGACTCTTGAGAGTCCCTTGGACTGCAAGAAGAACAAACTAGTCAATCCCAAAGAAAATCAGTCCTGAATATGCATTGGAAGGACTGATCTGAAGCTGAAGCTCCAATACTTTGGCCACCTGATGCAAAGAACTGACTCCTTAGAAAAGACCCTGATACTGGGGAAGGTTGAAATCAGGAGGTGAAGGGGATGACAGAGGACAAGATGGTTGGATGCCATCACCGACTTGATGGACATGAGTTTGAGCAAACTCCAGGAGTAGGTTATAGACAGGGAAGCTGCAGTGGTGTGCTGCAGTCCACGGGGTCGCAAAGAGTCAGAGATGACTATGCAACTGAACTGAACTGAACTAAACTGAGTTGAAAGTCTAGAAAAAAATCAACTGCAAATTCACATAAGAATAAATTGGAAATAAATAGGTAGTATCAAGGGTTCACTTGCTACATTCTGTGTACACTTCTTAAAAACTCTTAAGGCAACTGCAATGATTCTTACATTATGAGTTCAGGAGAAAAGATTTGCTTCCAAGTGTTGAGTCTGTAGTACTGGTTTTACTCATCAAACTGTATAGCTGTGCATCCTTTGCGCTGTGCTGTGCTTAGCCATTCAGTCATGTCCAACTCTTTGCAACCCCATTGACTGTAGCCTGCCAGACTCCTCTGTTCATAGGGATTCTCCAGACAAGAATACTGGAGTGGGTAACCTTGCCCTCCTCCAGGGGATCTTCCCAACCCAGGAATCAAACCAGGGTCTTCTGCATTGCAGGTGGATTCTTTACCAGCTGAACTACGAGGGAAGCTCATGCATCCTTTAGAAAACATATAAAATAGAAATACAGGCAGGAGGAGAAGGGGACGACAGAGGACGAGCTGATTGGATGGCATCACTGATTCAATGGACATGAGTTGGAGCAAGCTCCGCGAGAAGGTGAAGGACAGGGAAGCCTGGTGTGCTGCAGTCCATAGGGTTGCAAAGAGTCAGACACAGCTGATTGACTGAAGAACAAAATTTTGTAAAAATCAAGTCAAGTGACTAAAATTAATTTGAAGCAAATTAAAATTTCATCATCATTGTAAAGCTGCTTAAGAAAGAAGGTCTTAAGAAAATGTTAGAATGTTATACCTCAGTTTCCATATAGGAAAGTCATTTATCACTGAATTATTTTCTCAGAAATTTTGTAATGCTTAAGAACTGGGTAACTATGAAAAGTTGCTTTTTTAATATTATGTCCATAAAGTTTGATTCTACCTGATCTTTATTATCATCCTTTAGCTCTCAATTGCCCAGTAAAGAAGGGATGAGAATTAATGCCAGCTTGAACCTAGCATCTCTGACACAGTGAAGCAGAACAAAAAAGCCAAAAAAAAGCAAGCTTTGGTTGGGCCAGAATATCTTGGTATATAGTGAAGTTCACAAGAAAACAAATAGAAAGAGTATTTCAAATAGAAAATTCATGACCAATTCAAACAAAGTAATTTGAAGGTACTATGAAAGGTACTAAAGGAAAATAAGATCATTTAGCACAGGTTTTCAAAGAATGTGAGATTTTGATGGGAGAAGGTAACACTGTTGATAGTAACATTTAAAAGAGGGACAGAAGGACATTCCTATTGGGAGGCCTATTGAATACACATGCGCAAAACAATAGCCCTGTTCCCTGAGTAGCCCTGGATCTACTCAGAGAAAAGGAGATAGGCAAAAAATTAAAAAGTTATGCTTCTGAGAAGATTCTTATACTATGTCTCGATGGAAAATATGGAGATATACCTTCCTATGGCAGTCAACTTAGAACCAACCTGAGACAGTGGCCTTATTGAAATACCCAATTTTTATTATCTAATTTATGCAAAGCTTCACGAAGGCACCAATGGCCTAGTAAAAGCTTTACAATCTAAATGTTCTGCTTTTGCACAATGAAGGAAACTATAGGCAAGGTGAAAAGACAGCCTTCAGAATGGGAGAAAACAACAGCAAATGAAACAACTGACAAAGAATTAATCTCCAAAACATACAAGGTGCTTGTGCAGCTCAACACCAGAAAATCGAACAACCCAATCAAAAAGTGGGCAAAAGACTTAGACAGACATATCCAAAGGAGATATGCAGATGGCTAATAAACAGATGAAACAGCATCTTTTGATGCTCAATATCACTCATTATTAGAGAAATACAAATCAAAACCACAATGAGGTATCATCTCATGCCGGTCAGAAAGGCCATCATGGAAAAGGCTACAAACAGTAAATGCTGGAGAGGATGTGAAGAAAAGGGAACCCTCTTACACTGTTGGTGGGAATGCAATCTGGTACAGCCACTTGAGAGAATAGTGAGGAGATTCCTAAAAAAACTGGGACTAGAACTGCCATACGATCCAGCAATCCCACTGTTGGGCATACACCCTGAGGAAACCAGGATTGAAAGAGACACATGTACCCCGTTGTTCATTGCAACACTATTTACAGTAGCTAGGACATGGAAGCAACCTACATGTCCATCGGCAGATGAATGGATAAGGGAGCTGCGGTACGTATACACAATGGAGTATTACTCAGCTATAAAAAGGAATCTATTAGAATCAGTTCAAATAAGGTGGATGAAACTGGAGTCTATTATACAGAGTGAAGTCAGTCGGAGGGAGAAAGACAAATACTGTATATTAACACATATATATGAAATTTAGAAAGACAGTAATGATGATCCATACAAGGCAGCAAAGGAGACACAGATTTTCAGAACAGACTTTTCAACTCAGTGGGAGAAGGGAAGGATGGGATGATTTGAGAGAACAGCACTGAAACATGTACATTTCCATATGTAAAACAGATGATGAGTACAAGTTCGATGCATGAAGCCAGTGCTCTGGGACAACCCAGAGGGATAGGGTGGGGAGAGATGTGGGGGGCAGGGGGGTTCAAGATGGGGGGACACGTATACCTGTGACTGATTCAAGTGGATGTATGGCAAAAACCATCATGGTATTGTAAAGTAATTATCCTTCAATTAAAATAAATAAGTTAATTAAAAAGAATAAATGCTCTTAGTACCACAGTTTATTAAAACCAGGCACCTGATCGCAACAGAGGCAAAGAGACTTATCCTCTAATACATTTTTTGTTACTTAGTTTGCATCAAGAGAGACTGATTATTAAACACAAGGAAGAGATACTAATGGTGTTAATAATTTAACAAAAACTAGTGGAAGCATGTCATGAATAGCCAAGGTGTTGGACTGAATCACCGTCTCACATAGGAAATTCTGAAAAAGAAATGCAACTCAAAACATAGGTTGAAGAAAATAACTTTTAGAAGGGAAGATAGTAGTTTTGTGACTTAGGAATTTTATGAGAATTCTTTTGGATTCTAACTCTCTTTCATTGCACACGTGGAGCACCCAGTTACTATGATTTGCTTGTGGAAAGAAAATAAAACAAGCCTAAACCTTACCGCCTCCACTTCAGCAGGGTCGTACCAGACATTGATGTATGGATGTTGTAAGGCGTCATCCACTGATATCCTTTTTGCTGGGTCAATCACTAGCATCTTTGACAGCAAGTCTCTGGCTTGGCTGGCTGAAAACAAATGAACGAAGAAAAAAATTTGTTAAATTTTGATTTTGGCAAGGACATTTTTTGGAGGGAAAAATATTTTTTAAAAAGTCAATTAGCACCTTCCTTCCAAACATCAGCTAATTTCACCAAGTGTTTAGGGAAATGCAAAATGAAATAATGAAATATTTTTTATCCATCAAATATGCACAAATAAAACATGGCATAATATTCAATAATCTCATTCATGTTAGTTGCAGTGTAAATGGATAAAGATTTTTTTAGAGGGCACCTTTGGGAGTATTTTTTAAAATTTTAAATGTGAATACCTTATGACCCAACAGTTGTACTTGTAGGTATACAGTCTAGAGAAACAATTGCACCTGCTCAGGAAAAGCATCCAGAAAAGATGTTCACTGAATCATTGTCAAGGATTAAACATTTTAAACAATCTAAATGCTGCTGTTTTCAGTCACTAAGTCATGTTCAAGTCTTTGCAACCCCATGGACTGCAGCACACCAGACTTCCCTGTCCTTCACTATCGCCTGGAGTTTGCTCAAATTCATGTCCATTGAGTTGGTGATGCTATCTAACTATCTCATCCTCTGCTACCCCCTTCTCCTCCTGCCTTCTATCTTTCCCAGCATCAGGGTCTTTTCCAATGAGTCAGCTCTTCTTGCCAGGTGGTCAAAGTATTGGAGCTTCAGCATCAGTCCTTCCAATGAATGTTTGGGGCTGCTTTCCTTTAGGATCGACTGGTTTGATCTCCTTGCAGTCCAAAGGACTCTCAAGAGTCATCCACCTGTACCAATTAGCTTTGGCAGTTTTAAGCCTGGCAGGCTACAGTCTATGGGGAGGCAAAGTGTCAGACATGACTGAGCAACTTTCACTTTTATATGCATTTACATGGACATGGTATTAAGTGAAAAAATAACTGCAGAATGACCCATAGATCCTGATGCTACTGTATAAATCTGCCTCTCCCCAATAAAACAACAAACATTTCTCTCTCTTTATTTATGGATGTAAATGCATAGAAAAATTCTGCAAGGATCAAAGACAAATTGAAAATCATAGATACTTCTGAGAGGAAGAAAATTTGTACCTGTATTGCTTACATAATTAAAAATAAACTTAAAAGAATTATTTTTTAAAAGGAAACAAAGTGAGTGTACACCACTCATTTTAAAAACTTCAGAGCTGCATAAAAGGACAAAGTAGTATCTAGAAGGAGGCAAGGAAGTTACAGCTGACTTTTTGAGAATGGGAGAGATAATGAGGACTTTAGTGGGAGCAGAAGCTTCAAGGATAGAGAGAGGGGGGCAAAACTGAGAGAAAAAATCCATAAGACTTAGTAACCAAATTGATGCAGGGAATCTTATTTATTTTATTATTCAATTTATTCAATATACATTGTCTACTGTGTGCCGTGTACAGTTTCAGATGCTAGGGATACAAAAAAGTTGCACAGTGATAATCAGTAAATGTATTTATTTAATAACATTGTTGAGTGAAGTGTATTAGTTGCTCAGTCATGTATGACTGTGTGTGTGTGACCCCATGGACTGTAGCCATCAGGTTTCTCTGACCATGGGATTTTCCAGGCAAGAATACTGGAGTGGGTAGCCATTCCCTTCTCCAGGGGATCTTCCCAATCCAGGGATCAAACCATGGTCTCCTGCATCGCAGGTAGATTCTTTACCATCTAAGCCACCAGGGAAGTCCCTAATTCTTCTAAAGGATGCTCTAAACATATCTGAAAATACATTAAATGTTTCAGAAAATAGGATCCAAACTGATTTGGAAATTTTTATGATGAAAATATTCAATTTATTCCAAACATGGTAAAACTTCAAATTAAAGAAAGTAAAATCTAAACTGGTTTGCTAAATTAGGAAAAAGGCAGTGTGTTTGAATTCATGAATATGTACCAACTTTTAATTAGCAATTGTTTATTATTAATGAAATATGGTTAATTATAAAGTTTTGAAATTACATAAAACATAAAATCCAACCTTCCCCACCATCTGGAAGCAATCATTCTTATTATTAATGTATTCCCTTCTAGTTTTATGTACTTCTTCATAATTTTGATTATATTAGATTTAAAATGTGGCAATCTATTTTTCACATCTACAGCATTTGTATTTCTTGTGTTATTACATTTTAATAAAATATTCACATTCACTTATACTAATTATATATTTTTAAAAATCACTAGTTAAATTACTGGAAGATTTTTTATTTCTGTTAGTCATTTTTCTGGGGATCGCAATTCTAAACACTTAATTTCTGCTACTTCCAAATTGACACTTTGAAGTTCATAAGAATGACAAAAGTACAGAAATATACAATGATTTTCAGTATTAGTTTCTCTGATTGTTAACCTAACAGTTATTTAGGTTATAACTAACATTATAACATACATAACATATAGAACATATAACATTATAACATATTATAACCTATAATTTAGGTTATGTTAGGTTCCTATAACATAGGAAATAACCTATGTCTATTTCATTGATTCAAGACCTCCTTGATTTGTAACTGATTTTATACCCAGACTCACACACTCCACAGGTTCTCATATCACCTACGTTTCTGCTCTTGGAAAAGTAGGGGTTGGGGTGGTCTCCTCATCAATGGGAGAATGAACTACTGGAACACCAAACCATCTCACTAAGAAACAATCATCAATGCTGCTTGTAAAGGACAAACTGAGGAAGAGGGAAAGAATTAAATTCTTCATCTTTCATTCTTTTGTTTGCAAGTAAATGTCTTACGCTCTTTAATAATGGTAGAATAAATCCTTCCCTTTGATTATTTGTGTAATTCTTTATAATTTATTGATTTTGTATTACAGTTATAATTTAATATTATAAAATTCAGAGCGTGGCAGAGGTAGCTGAAGGAAGAAACCCAACTGTACAACAAAAGTGTCACAAACACAGGAACAACACTGTACTTAATTTAAAAGCCACCAGATGAAAGTCTGGAGAAGATAATATGACCCTGGGAAGTTGTAACACTATATTTCGGTTTCTCCATCTCATTTAATTCTATATTAACCATAAATTAAGTCTGTACATTTAATCTGTAACTAATTGTCCACTGAACATTTGCAATAAAATTTCACAATTGTGTGTCCTTTTGGGGGGGGATTCCCTAATAGCTCAGTTGGTAAAGAATCCACCTGCAGTGCAGGAGACCCCGGTTCAATTCCTGGGTTGGGAAGATCCTCTGGAGAAGGGATAGGCTACCCACTCCAGTATTCTTGGGCTTCCCTTGTGGCTCAGCTGGTAAAGAATCCGCCTGCAATGTGGAAGACCTGGGTTTGATCCCTGGGTTGAGAAGATCCCCTGGAGAAGGGAAAGGCTACCCACTCCAGTATTCTGGCCTGGAGAATTCCATGCACTGTAAAGTCCATGGGGTTGCCGGGGAAGCTGAAGTTCCAATACTTTGACCACCTGATGTGAAGAGCCAACTCATTGAAAAAGACCCTGATACTGTGAAAGATTGAAGGCAAAAGGAGAAGAGGGTAGAAGAGGATAAGATAGATAGCATCACTGACTCAATGGATGTGAATTTGAGCAAATTCCAGGAGATAGAAAACAGAGGAGCCTGGTGTGCTGCAGTACATGGGGTCACAAAGAGTCAGAGACAACATAGCAACTGAACAACAACATAGATCCACTGGAAATAATAATTTTATAATTAATAAATGTTAATTATTATTTTTATATCTGTTACTGAGCATTTAGTATGAGACAGGCAGTGTTCTAAGCACTTGACAAACTATTCAACTAATCCTCCCAATGATCCTATAAGTTAGACACTTTCTGCTTTAGTTTGTTAAAGAAGGTACAGAAAAATTAGATAACTTGCCCAGGTTCACAGAGATTTTAAGGGATAGGATTCCTTTCCCCAGCAAAGGAAAAAAATCAGATTTGCTTCATATCCCAAATTTCTGAAATGTCCTAAGTTAGAATAAGAATTAAAATATTAAACTATTACTTATATTATACTTTATACCTTCCCAAATTTATTGTCTTCAGTCCTATAAAGAAGTCGTTATGATTCCCGTTTTGTGGGTAAGAAATTAAGATTCATTACTAAAGTTCATAATGGCAGACATAGTAGTAGAAAAAATTACTTATTAATGAAAGTCTTTATGTTGAAAACAAAATGTGAAAGTAAAAATCTCATTTGTCACTCTAAAATAGAAAATGGTGGTTAAGCATTTAGTAAAATATAAATAAAACTCAAACACCTATAGTTTCAAGATTTATAATGAAAATCTTGTGTTTAAAATATTTTCCAGAATATAAATATAACTGGAACAATTGCTTCAATGTATATATAATGTTGTTCTTTTAGCGTTAACATTGCAAGATAATTTTAGATTCTAAATAAGCCCATAAATAGTTAACCCATACCACTGTCACACACTTTATTGCTACTCTTCTCTCTAGATAACCAGAAAATTTTAAAATCCTTGATTACTCTCCCTTTGTAAGGAGGATCTTTTAAAAATACCTCCTCTTAAATTGAGGTTGTTATTCAGTTGCTTAGTCATGTCCGACTCTTTGCCACCCCATGGATTGCAGCATGACAGGCGTTCCTATCATTCACCATCTCCCTAAATATGCTCAAACCCATGTCCATTGAGTCAGTGATGCCATCCAACCATCTCATCCACTGTCGCCTCCTTCTCCTCCTGCGCTCAATTTCCCCAGCATCGGGAGAGGTGTCTCTACGGTCTGCATCACCCACACAGTGGTGCTGATGTTATCCCTGAAGGGCTTACCTTTGAGTTTGTTGTGCTCAGAGTCCGCTGGGAAGAGGGAATCTGGAAAGAGCTTGGGGAAGGTGAGTCCTGCATACTTGGGCCGATTCTCCACATAGTTTCTTACAGTGGGTTGCAATTTCTTCATGAATTCTGGACATGGTGTTCCTAGTTGCTCAATAACCTTATTCCACTGGTCAATATCTGAGAATTGAATAGTTAAGGGCAAAAACAAGTGCAGGCCACCAGCTCTTGCCTTTCACTAGTTGGGAGACTAACTGCTTCTCAGAATTCTGAACAGTCAATAACACAAGTGAAGTTTTAAAAAAAACAACAAAGGACAAAAATATAAAATCAGATTGTCAGGCAGTAAATCCTCTTGGAATTTTAAATTCACTTTGAGAACACATACACTTTTGAGAAATTAGCATTACATAACAAAATATAATATCATTAAAGAGACTTTGGGTTGTGTCAATGGAAAGATATTTAAATAACACAAGAATTTCTTTTATTGAGTTAAACTTCTATATAGCCATGTTATTTGGAAGAGAAAAATTATAATGACACATAATAATATTATCATGAAATTATTCCAATCATTTATTTTCTAAAAATGACAGATGAATAAATATTTTATAAGATTCATCTATATTTTTCTTAAATTCTTTATAAGATTCTTTTTTTCCTCCTGTTCTCTAGAAAATGGCAAATTTCCTTGTCTGTTAATTTTTTTGACTCATGCACATTACAAATAGAATCAGTATGATAATAACTCATTAACTCTTCATCAAAGACTTAAAAGATTCTGTTTATCAAAGCAGTTGCAGTTTCATACCCATTTTCTTACTTCTGATAATAGTGCCTTGTATCCTGAATATTATAATATTCAATGAAATATGAAGGTAAACATAGGATGTTCAATTCAAGGCAGATTTCATCCAAGTGCCTGTGTTTCAAACGCATGTTAAACATGGGGAATTTTACAAGAAAAACATTACCTCTCTATGAAAACTAATACTTCCAAAACTGGGGGTCTTTGACAGGCACACCCACTGACTGAGATTTTCTTTTTCATCTTTCATAGATATTTTATATATCAGAGCTTGGGAATGATAAATACCACTCATGAAAACTCTGAACAGTCAACTGGAAGAAGTTGATTTCAAATAGATTTCCTTGCCATGTGTCAATGAAAGACAGAGGCCTTAGAAATTCTGAAATCCAATGCCACAGGCAGAGTTCTCTCCAATGTTGCTAATTCTGTAACTCTATCTTTAAAGTTAATTTATTTCTGCTAATGCAATTTGTGACAGGTCAGGGAATGTTACTATAATATTATTTAATTAAGATTTATAAAACTGTTACCCCCAGTTTTTCTATAGCATTGAACTAAAAAAGATGGACAATCCTGACAAAAGACAAAATTAATTATATTTAACAAAAATAAATATGTAATGCAATGTAGATAGGTGACTGAACAAAGGGAAAACCAAGCTAATTTGCAAATGCTCTTTTATTTCTCTTATAATCTAGCTGAATAAAATTTAAATTATATATCCTCTCAGTTATTAGGAAGAAAAAAAGTATGGTTGTGTAGTATCAAGAAATGAAGTAAAGGAGGGGAAAACTGAAGAATATTCCTTTACAAAATGATAGAAATAATTAAACAAGAACATCTCTCAAAAATTCATCTCCGCTTCCATCTGTATGAGAATATATAGTAGTAAATGAGAATCATTAGGAATAAAGTAAAAAAAAATGCAAAAAATTAAAGATTACTCTTAGACAAAAACTTATGTTAGTACTATAGATAATAGGTAAGCTAGAATTACTTAGATAAATTTTAAATAGGAAACATTAATACAGTTAAATAAACCTCAATGCTTATACTGTAAATTATGAAAAGAAATCTACTGTTTAATACAGTTAATATCATGTACTAACAGGAGATTATTTAATCAGTGGTCAAGCTTCTTGAGAATTCTAAAGATTTGATCAGGGCAAAGAAGTTATCAGATTTTCTGTAAAGGAATCTTCTAACAAAGTTAGCAAAACATTCCCAACACACTAGTATAGTTATATTTAGCTAGTGGTATGGTGGCTCAGATGGTGAATAATTTGCCTATCATGCAGGAGACCCAGGTTTGATCCCTGGGTAGGAAGATCCCCTGGAGAAGGGAATGGTTACCCATTCCAGTATTCTTGCCTGGAGAATTCCATGAACAGAGGAGCCTAACAGGTTACAGTCCATGGGGTCACAAAGAGTCAGACACTACTGAGTAACTAATACTTGAAACAGTTATTTAATTAAAAAGTGAATTGTTTTTAAAGTAACATTTCCAAAACAATTGCATCGTTTTTTCACAGTAATGTTTCAGAAAGAGTGAAAGTCATTCAATCGTGTCCGACTTTTTGCAACCCAATGGATGATATAGTCCACGGAATTCTCCAGGCCAGAATACTGCCGTTCCCTTCTCCAAGGGATCTTCCCAACCCATGGATTGAACCCATGTCTCCCACATTGCAGGCAGATTCTTTACCAGCTGAGCCACAGGGGAAGTTTAAGGAGAGTCAAACGTTCTGGAATTAATTAAACAAGAACTATTAAAATGTTTCTTATTTAAAGTTATAATTAAAGTCTCTAGAAGCATTCAGCATATCTTCCTACCTTAGATTATCTTTAGATGAAACACTGTTATGGTCCTTGATGTAATGGTTTACCAAAAAGAAACATTAATCTCTTTATTATTGGCAATGAAATACTTGATTGTTCTAACTGTAAATATGTGGTATAGTCATCTCTAAAATTGGGTGCCTTTATTTTAACCAATCCATTTTAAGCTCTTTCTTCCCAAAAACATGACTAGTACATTTAAGCGCTAAGAACTCATTTTACAGGCATTCACAGGATTGCATCATTAACAACTATGTACTGAGTTAACCATGTCAGTTTTCTCTATAATCATAATTAAACAAATACAATCCAATACTAGAAATAATATTTCCTGGCTCTAAACCCAGGACTTGTTCCAAGGATTCCAGTAAGAAAAAAGAGCAAGTCTGGAACTGATGTAGTAAATATTACTTTAATTTTGCCATAAAATTGATCGTATGCTTGTCAGAGGCAATCCCTCTTAAAGAATGCCTCTGAAACTGCTTCCTTAATCTATTAGGCCAACTTTTTCACATAAAACAACTAATTTTATTAACATTTAAATAGAAAATAAAGTGATACATTTTAAAAGAATTTTTTAATCATCAGATTTCCACAATGATTATACCTTTAAAAGTACAGAAAATTTTAACTAGGTTTTTATGATTATATGTTAATTTAAAATAGTAAGTATTTTTTAAAAGAATAACCAAAATTATTTTTGTAAAACAATTTCTCTGCTTTAGAACACTAATAAGTCATCATTTTTCTACTATATGAGTAAGGATATGAATACCTACAGATTCCAGCATGTGCAGTCATCAAGAAAGCAAAAATGTATATTTTTGATCTACTAGTTCAGAAATCATCATACAACATAATTATCAAATGTATTTAATAAAAACTAAAATGTCATCTAGCAGAAATTACTTGACAATATTCTCATCTAGTTCTAAATTCACTACATAAAGATAGTCATAAAAAGTTTGGTTTCTCAAATAGAGTATGATAAGATAATGCACAACTATTTACTATAACATCTTCAATAAGTAGTATTGTAATAGATGAAAGAAACAAAGTATGGATTATAAAACTGATTATTTGAAATCCTAAGACTGGAAATCATTCCAGCTAATTTTTGCCAGTTAGCCAAGAACTTACATTTAATGTCCTCCTTTTACATTAACTTCCTTGGTTAAGAAACTTTCTAAAATATATAACAAACTGCCTTGAGCCTAATGTATGAATAATGCCTGACTATTTTCTGGATATTTGAGGTCATAATCTACACCACGTACATTTAAGCTTTCAGAGGCTACCAAGTGGAATCAAGTGGCTTCCCTGGGGGCTCAAACGGTAAAGCATCTGCCTGCAATGCAGGAGACCCGGGTTCAATCCCTGGGTTGGGAAGCTTCCCTGGAGAAGGAAACAGCAACCCACTCCAGTACCCTTGCCTGGAAAATCCCATGGACAGAGGAGGCTGGTAGGCTACAGTCCATGGGGTCGCAAAAAGTCGGATGTGACTGAGCGACTTCACTTTCAAGTGGGATCATAAAGTGTTGTTTAGTGGCTTCATTTTACTATGCCCTTTGAATTATTTTATCTCTGCTTTGTTTTTCCATTGATTACTTTTTCTTATGATGAATATGTTTCATCATAAGAGTTGACACCTTTGTGAATTCAGATTTGCTTTTTACTCTGCTCTATGCCTTATATTTAATATTCAGTGCAAAAATGTTGACATCTATTCACAACCTAAAGAATATCAGTGTTTGTCCCTAAATTCTTAACTATGGTTTTAAAGGTAATATTGTTTAAGAGTACTGTCTTTAGAAAAGTTCCAGGAGTGACTACTTTATCTTGCAAGCCAAGCAGCTACCTGGTTGGCACTGTGTTGAATATTATCTGGTGACTTTATGTTAGCCCTGTATTTATATCTGCAACAAATATGCAATAGGAGGTAGAGGTATGCATGCCATGTGTTAGGCATCATGATAAAAAAAAAAAAACTGCAGTTCCCAAAATGAATATTCATAACTTATGGAACTTATAAAAATATAGATTGTTCCCCTCTCCCCATTGATCTGCAAGATTCTGATTGCATATGCTTGAGATGATATCATTAAGAAACATCACGGTAATTGCAATCCAGGTGGCCCCTGGTATATTTGAGAAATACTGACAATATCTTGTGAAAAAATAAGTCCAGATATAAGAATAAAGTACTAACCTGTTTCAGTTTTATGACACAGATTAGTTTAGGGTCAATTTCACCAAAAGATTAATCCACACCTTTTGCTATGGAAAACTTAGGGGGTTGTTCACATGGAAATATGACAGGGAAAGAAATCCTAATATTTGTTCCTTTTCCCCATGTCACTTTCCTGAAAATACCATGGGAAATGATGACAAGTGTCACACATAAGCTCCATGCAGAGAAAAAGGGGTTCTACTCATCAATACCTATAGAAGGATTGAAATTACATGTTGCCATCATAAAAATACAGGTTGATATCATGTTATATGGAGTGCTACTCATGGGAAGCAT